CATGGGCTGTGCATATCTATACTAATAAAAGGGTCATATGCTAATTCAAAAAAAAAAAAAAGAATAAAAGTGATGACAAACAAGTACTTATCAATAATAACATTAAATGTAAATGGATTAAATGCTCCAATCAAAAGACATAGGGTAGGGGTGGCAAGGGCCTGGAAGAAAGTCCTGGGAAGCCCATCCTGGGCAGTAGCAGTCCCCTTGTGTCCCCCTCCCATCACACAGTGTGGCAGTTCTCCACAGAGATAGGCCCTCCCCTCCCCTCGCCCCATCTTGGGGGAGCCACCAGGATGTGTCGTGTCGCCGCCTGAGTGGGTGGTTTAGGCGGCGGGCCTGCTGCTCGGGGCTGGCGTCTGCACCTGCTATTGCATTTATAGGCTGACTTTGGGGCAGTGGCAAGGTGGCCAGGGGCTCTGGCTGTGTCCCTCCTGGTCTGCAAAATTCTTAACCAATGGTTCATATGATGATGTCCTAAATGCTGAACAACTTCAGAAACTCCTTTATCTGCTTGAGTTAACTGAGGATCCTTCGATCATTGAAAGAGCTCTGGTCACTCTGGGTAACAATGCAGCCTTTTCAGCTAACCAGGCTATTATTCGTGAATTGGGTAGTATTCCACTTGTTGGAAGCAAAATCAATGATCCCAACCACAGTATTAAAGAGAAGGCTTTAAATGCACTGAGTAACCTGAGTGTGAATGTTGAAAATCAAATCAAGATAAAGGTATACGTCAATTAAGTCTGTGAGGATGTCTTCTCTGGTCCCCTGAACTCCCCTGTGCAGTTGGTGGGACTGAGATTGCTAATACACATGACAGTTACCAATGACCATCAGCATATGTTTACCAATTACATTACAGACTTGTTCCAAGTGCTGCTTTCAGGAAATGGAGCCACCAAGGTTCAAGTTTTAAAATTGCTGTTGAATTTGTCTGAAGATCCAGCCATGACCAAAGGACTATTTGGTGCCCAAGTGGATTCATCATTCCTTTCCCTTTATGATGGCCACATGGCAAAGGAGATTCTTCTTTGAGCACTTACACTAATTCAGAATATAAATAACTGCTTCAAAATGGAAGGTCATTTAGCTATTCAGTCTACTTTCACTCAAGGTTCATTGTTTTTCCTGTTATATGGAGAAGAATGTGCCCAGAAAATGAGAGCATTAGTTAATCATCATGATGCAGACGTGAAGGAAAAGGTAACAATAATATCCAAATTCTAACTGGTAGGTCATATTTTCCAAACAGTAGTGCAGTCTGGAAGACAACTTCATCTTATTTACAAAGAAATTATTCCAGCCCTAGCCGGCTTGGCTCAGTGGATAGAGCGTCATCCTGCAGACTGAAGGGTCCCAGGTTCGATTCCGGCCAAGAGCACATGCCTGGGTTGCGGACTTGATCCCTGGTGGGGGGCGTGCAGGAGGCAGCCGATCGGTGATTCTCTCTCATCATTGATGTTTCTATCTCTCTCTCCTTCTCCCTTCTTCTTCTCTGACAATAAAGAAATATATTTTAAAAATATAAAAAACAAAATTATTCCAGATGCTGAATTTAAACAGTAAATATCAGATTTCATCATTTCCACAGCTAGAACTTGCCATGGTCTTCTGATTTATTTTGGACCATTTTATTGATACAAAAAAAATATAACAGCTTCTTCTGAAACATATATTTCCTTTTATTTTGCTCTTTGCTGAGCTACTTTAATTATTTCTTCTACATGAAGTGACAGTGACCTTTTTATATGTAAGCTACTCTTCTGCTATTTGCTGTGATTAGTAGTTACTCACCTGAGAGAGCATTAGTAAGTGATTGTTTCAGAACTGCCGTAGGAATGACCTTCTTTTAGTAGTAATGAGATCCTATGCTCTTGCGTCCACCTACCAGACTAGCCATACTGCTTTCAAAAGTTTATTCTAATTATTAAAATATATTCTATTCAATGAAAATGGTAAACTTTTCAGAGAAATGTTTGCTACTACTCACCCACTCCCATTCAGTGTGCCAGCATGTAAAGATGCTGTTATAAAATACTGGGATCCATCTTTCCCTTCAGCGTGCCACTGAAGATCCTGGTGTCGCCATGGGTTGACGCCCCGCCCGGTGTTACCAGTATTGTAAGAACAAGCCGTACCCAAAGTCTCGCTTCTGCCGAGGTGTCCCTGACGCCAAGATCCGCATCTTTGACCTGGGGCGTAAAAAGGCAAAAGTGGATGAGTTCCCACTCTGTGGCCACATGGTGTCAGACGAATATGAGCAGCTCTCCTCCGAAGCCCTGGAGGCTGCCCGTATTTGTGCCAACAAGTACATGGTGAAAAGTTGTGGCAAAGATGGCTTTCACATCCGAGTTCGGCTCCACCCCTTCCACGTCACCCCATCAACAAGATGTTGTCCTGTGCTGGGGCTGACAGGCTCCAAACAGGTATGCGGGGTGCCTTTGGAAAGCCCCAAGGCACAGTGGCCAGAGTCCACATTGGCCAAGTCATCATGTCCATCCGCACCAAGCTGAAGAACAAGGAGCACGTGATTGAGGCCCCACGCAGAGCCAAGTTCAAGTTCCCTGGCCGCCAGAAGATCCACATCTCCAAGAAGTGGGGCTTTACTAAGTTTAATGCGGATGAGTTTGAAGACATGGTGGCCGAGAAGCGCCTCATCCCAGATGGCTGTGGGGTCAAATACATCCCTAATCGTGGTCCCCTGGACAAATGGCGAGCCCTGCACTCGTGAGAGTCTCGGTGCTGCCCCCACCTTACACCCACCAATAAATCAATTTTTCATCCAAAAAAAAAAAAATACTGGGATCCATCCAAGTGCCCACCTATAGGCAAATGGTTAAGTCAATCATCTAGTCTTAAAGAACTAAGTAGGTCTGAATGTGCTAATGTGGAAAGACACCCATGAAATATGAATGTTTTTAAATGAAAGATATTTAGGGTTATATATGGATAGCCACTTCTAGAATGATACTCAAACTCCTGGGCATGGGACTGCGGAGTGAGAAAATGACTTTTCTATGTTCACATTCTACTGTTTGAAATTTTTACTATGGCATAAATTTAATCATAATTTTTTTAAGTTAAAAGGAAAAGTAACTAAAAAAATAAAAGACATAGGGTAGCTGAATGGACAGGAAAACATGACCCATATATTTGCTGTCTGCAAAACACCAACCTCAGAACAAAGGCTCACACAGACTGATAGTGAAGGCATGGAAAAATTTTCAGGCAAATGGAAATAAGAAAAAAGCTGGGGTTGCAACACTTATATCTGACAAAATAGACCTCAAAGTAAAGGCCATAACAAGAGATAAGGAAGGCCACTACATAATACTAAAGGGAGCAATCCAACAAGAAGATATAACTCTGGTAAACATATATGCACCCAATACAGGAGCACCCAAATAAATA